GAACAAACTACGCAAAAAAAGCATTACCTTTGAAGGAGCACAGATTTATAATAAATTGCCTTACAATATAAAAATGTAAGCTCATTTAGTAGTTTTTTTAGTCTCAGCTATCACAATACGTAATTGAACATTTTTCACCATTGAGGCTATGAAGTTACTGACTGAGTGTTCGGCGACCTTTAGAATAAGTATATTAAAATGTAATTATAATTTCCATGTAAGTTGCATTGTTTATCTTTTTTGAAAATAATATTTCTTTAAACTCGATTTCTTGCAAATTGGGTATGAGTGCGTTTTTACATTCATACCCGTGTGCGACAGCTGTGGCCACTTTATTATGTCTTCTTTTATGCAATATGCTCGCATAAAATTCAGTGGCGTAGCTATGCAAACAAGGGCCCCGGGGCAAAAAGAAATTGGGGCCCTATTTGAACTAAACTAAATAATTTAAATGTGTAAAACTACTATGTAGTATGTGTAACGCAGCATATACTATTTAATCGTACTTCCATATACAGCCCAAACCACTATACGTAGAAATCTGAAAATGGGACAGTCGCTGCCTTTTATAACGTAGGCATCCACTATGAAAGGAGCAAGGAAAACCCAACCTCTAAGGGGATGAAATAGGGTGATACCATTTGTATGAAACTTATTATTTTACGGGGCGATTGACTTGAAACTTACTAAAGGTAATCTGTATATTACGTGTTAGAGTCACGCTGCAGCTATATTATGATTGCAGCACGAATGGATCGGTTCGACTGGGGTAGGACTACGCTCACACAGAATAAAAAGCTAAATTTACAACCTATGTACGTCCCACTCCTGGGCACAGACCTCAGCTCATTTCTGAGAGGGTTTATGGCGAGGAATTGTCCGCCGAGCTGCCTAATGCGTGTTGGTAAACACCACATGTCTTCGAAATATTCACCGCCGAGCACGTTGTAAATCAGCACTTAAAATTGCAATTAACAATTTCATTGAAGCCGGCGCGAATACTACGCGGTTTGCTCGCGTACTGTGTGAAATCTACAGCGAATGCCAATCATCTGAGCTACCACGACGCTCTCTCACAGAATACCAGCGTAAAATAGCAGCGTCATGTTGCTGTGTATCTTATGGTGAGTGTAGAGAACCAGAGACGTTATTATAAACGAGGCATTCCATCTTAGTCCTCAGGGGTGACAACGCATCTGCATTTTGATTCTTCATTGAGGATAAATATGTCTGTGGACCACAGCATCCACTTATCTTCAGGTGAAGTGTGTGCTCGTTTGTCACCCTTTTCCTAATTGAAAATAATCCATTAAAGAGGAACCAGAAAAAAATTTATTAGCGTTTTTTTAATACGAAATTCACACTGGAATTAAAAATAATAAATTACACATTTTTAGTTTGTTTAACAAATCTATCCTTAGGGACTTAAAAAGGAGGTGCAAAGTTTTTATGAAAAATATTATATCGTGACGCACATCCCAAAAAACTGGACGTAGAAATCTGACAGTTGCTGCCTTTTATGACGTAAGCATCCTCGTGATGTCGTCTACATGAACCAAGGTGCTATGCAGGTATCAGGCCTCGGGGTATACCCCACTGCTGGGCCTGCAGTCGCCGCCTCAGAGGGTCGCTCAGAAGTGCGTACCAGGCCGGAGCAGCGTAGGTGATGATGGTCCGGATATACATCTTGTATATCCGGAGCTTGGTTTTAATCGGCAGCTTGGATGCTAGGACCGGCAAGAGCGTCGCCCGCGCACATCGGGCTCTGCGGACGACGAAGTCGACGTGCGCGGTCATGCGCAGCGTCCTGTCGACCCTGCACCCAAGGCCTTCTGGTACGCAATCTTCTGGCCATTGATTCTGGCTTCTTGGGTCAGCGGAGGTGAAATTTTCCTGAGACGGCGAGTGAGCAGAGCGGTCGTCTTACCAACGTTGACGACCATCCTCCACTCGTCCAGCCATGGTGGCAGCAGGTCCAGCAGACGCTGCATCCTGGCAGTGGCTATGTGGGCTCTTCTGGACGAGGTGAAATAGGCGATCTCGTCCGCATATAGCGCCAGCTCAACGTCGTCCTCCCACTCTTGAAGCCTGCCTGCCAGTGTTGGGATATCGTTAGTATAAGCCGCGTACAGGACTGGAGACAAACAGCTGCCCTGTGGAACGCCGGCTCTGATGAATCTGGTTGCGGACTCGGCGTCCTCTACGCAGATGTAGAACTTCCTGTCTTCCAGGAAAGACGCCACTAGCCGCAACATAGCAAGAGGGACACTGGTCTGTTCGTACAGCTTGTAAAGCAATCCTGAGTGCCACACCCTGTCGAACGCCTTCTCGATATCGAGAAAGACGCCCAACGATATGCGGCCACGATTGTACTCTGCCGCAAGTAGGTGCAGCACTCTAGTCAACTGTGTGACTGTAGAGTGACCCCTCCTGAATCCGTGCTGCTCCGCCCGAAGTTGGATGCACGGACGGAGACGTCTTGGCAGCAATCTTTCTAGTAGTTAGCTATGTGCGGTAATAGCGTGATCGGCCTGTAGCTGGCAGCTCTACGCCTGTCCTTCCCGGGTTTCGGCAAGACGATGACTTTGCCTTTCTTCCAGTCCTTCGGGAAGTGGGATGTCCGCAATATCCCATTGTAGAGTCGACCAAGCTCTACTAGGACTCTATTGGGCAGCTGTCGGAGTGCAGCGTTGGTAATCCCATCGTGCCCCGGCGCCTTCCTCGGTTGCAGACGGGTTACTGCCCTCCGCAGTTCTGCGGGGGAGATGAACCACTCTCCTGCAAGAGGCGGCGCGGGCGACGACAGGAACTCCTGTACGCGACTTTCCTTACGGGCATGAAGCTCCATGAACTCCGCACTTGCTGGGTTTGGCATAAATTGCTCCTCGAAGTGCTCGACTAGGATATCCGCTCTGCCCTTGGCATCGTAGCAACGTTCACCCGCGCTGTTGATCAGCGGGCAAACGGGAGGTCTGGTGTTGGTCAACTGTCGGTTCAGTTTATAGAGCGACGCATCTTGCTCATCCGCCTTCCAGATGCGCCGGTCCCAGGCCTCTCCTCTGAAGGCCTGGACTGCAACCGACAGTTCCTCCGATACGGTGTTAAGTTGCTTTTTTATCCTGGGGCAGCGAGTACGCGCCCAGAGCTTTCTCAACGCTCTCTTGCGCCTGATCTGCACGCATATCTCTCGCGGCAGATCGTCTCGCCTTGCAGTGATCGGGACGATCGTAGAGGCCGCGTGGAGGGCCTCCTGGATGTTCCTGGTAATTATAGTAGCAGCGGCCTCTACGTCGTCCGCTGTGCTTATAGGCTAGTGGACTGGAGGTCTCTCCTGCAGATGTTGGCAATAGAGCCTCCAGTCGACACGTGTCTTGAATGCTCTGGGCGGCGTTGTCACCGCCTTTAGGCCAAGGGTTATCAGAATCGGGAGGTGCTGTGAGGAGAGCTTGTACAGCACTTCTACCACTATCGGGTAGTTGACGTTCCTAGTGAGCACGATGTCTAATACATCCGGATGTCTCCGTGAGTCAGATGGAACGTGAGTCGGTTCTTCGGGACCTAATACGTCATAGCTGTACTGTGTGACGTAAGCATCCACTAAGAAAATTCAACCCTTAGCAAGAGAGGCGTTACCGTAGTGACGGTGCAAGCATATCCACTACCTCATATCATCCCGCGGCTGTCGTAAGAGGTAGGAAACAAATCAGGAGATGGGCAGCCGCGTCTTCTTAATAACGACTAAAAATAAAAAAACTGTGGTTGTCAACCCGCTTGCCAGGCGTGGCTACTGTGACAAATGTTCACCCTATGAGACAATCTATGAGGGTGGCCTACATTTATCAGTGGACTTTAATAGGTTGTAGCGGTAACGGTAAGAACGGGAAATAGCATGTTACAGTTTTATGAAACTTTTTATATTACGGAGCGATAGACTCGAGACTTACTGAAAGTACTCTGAGATGTTTCAAATGGTTGTTTTCTTACGGATGCCCATAAGGTTCTTAAATTTGTATCGAGAAAAATTAATGATTTTTTTTTAAATTAGAAAATAGGTGCATATTATTCTCTCGAATTTAATATAATAAAATTAACATTGTTAATTTTTTCATTTAATTTTGTCACACACGCTGTCTCTATCCCCATCCTTATACATTTTATGTATAAGGTTGGGGATAGAGACGGCGTCAAACGCTTTTCTCAAATCTAGTAATACTATAGGACATCGGGACCTAAAACATTTCAGTGCCCTCAGATAGGACATCCCCCCAGTCTGGACATGCCTGTAATGATAAAAATGGGCTAGCTCCTCATCGCTACAATCTAATTTTCTTTATCAGCTTGTAAAAGTTCACAGCTGGACATGATATCCCTTGTTAGTAAGGATTTGCCTTAATCAATTGGCGACCAGACGTCTTGCAGCTTCGATGTTACTCCTTGCCGCCAGTTTGGGCATTTTACGTGTGCGTTAACAAGATGGTTATTAGATACCTAGTAATAGAAATTGATTAGCAATTAAACAACTGAACACGTGAAGTTTTCTTTATTCCCGTAAAAGTACAACGGCGGCAAAATCTGATAACGCAAACGTCATTCAGTGAACGTTTGGAAACGATGACAATGGTCATCATCATTTAGCGGTAGCCATAAGACAATTCTGATATTTCCCACAGCCGCCTTTTGAGCTCCCACGGGGCGAAATGTGGTGGTAGATATTCTTGAGTCGTCACTGGACGGCCAGCGCTATAGTCATAGATTCGTCATATAGTATACTGGAGAGCGAATAATTTTAAAGCTATAAAAATTTGAAGTAAGCACCCGTTTCATACAAAGTTTACATTAAATTCTCTTTCATAATAGGTTTATCCGTACCTATTATGACTAAATATTACTTTGTGATTACTTTGACAATGTCATAATATTAATTTTAAACAAAATGTGATACTAGACCGTTAAATTAGCAATAATGCAATTAATTACCCACATTATAAAGATAAAAAAACATGGAAAATAAATCAAATGCAAATATAGAAAAGAAAATCGTGAATAGAACTAAGTCTTACAATAATGGACCTCCTGGGAATCACAAATTTGGACCTTCTAGAGGTAAATCTTTAAACATTGGTGGACCTGTGAGATCTTTAGAAATTGCGTTAGATCAATTTAAGAAAGACAAGGTGATTAACGGCGATTTTTCAACGCTAACTGCGAATAAAAATCCAGCGGGACAGAGTAGGGTCACACCAGACTTGCTTTTGAGCAGTGTAAAATCGAGTAATTTCAGCAATAGCACCGATAACGTTTCCCAACTATCAATGGACCTTTCCCATTATGAATTACTAAGGAACTTATCTTATTCCAACTGCAATTCTGATGGAGCATTCAGTGGCAATACATGTGATTCTAACACTGCTGATCTGAAAGAAAAAGATGAACATTTGGAACGATATTTCCGAAGCGTTGAAATGTGGTCGAGTAATGCCGTATACGGTGACCAAAGCGGTGTTGACTCAAAAATGTTTGAAAGGTAACAATGCACCGACAATTTAAAATAAGGTTTGTGATGCAAATTGAAAGTATTTTTGATTGTAACCTTTGAAATCGATCGAAATGTTTAAATTATTTTTATGAAAATCTTTAAAAGTATACATACTACATTTTTATCACTATTCTAATTAATGAATTTACATTTCTTAGAACTTTGAAGAAAATTAAATACTTTTTTTTAAAAACGTTGGTCATTTCATTTAAAACTTCATACAATATTAAATTGCAAAAGTCTTCAACTACTTCCCGTTGGGTCATTGGGTGGGATAGTAAGTCAAGTACTGGCTTTTAATAGTTAAGAAATGTTACTAATTTTGAATAATAAGTAATTACAAAGATTATCAGAAAAAAGCCACCTATAAAACATCCAGTTTTGTGATGACATTACCCAATTAGGTGAAAACTAGGGTTCTGAAAAGGGGATACCCGAAACTCTAAGCATGTCGCACATAAGCAAAACAAACCTACGTAGAAAAGGCAAAATGGGCTGGTAGGGGTTAATCATGATAAAGAAATATAAATAAAATGATACACTGCAATAGCGTTGCAACGTTTATTTATTATATTAGTTTAAAATGATGTTTGAATTATTTTCATAATTATTTATCAGTAATGATTTCTTATATTTACGCGAACACTATACATTGATAAAAACTACTTTTACGGATTTTATCGCGTTTTATTTATTTTTAATACCCGACGTTTCAGGTGCTTTCCAGCACCCATGGTCACGGGGGACTTAGGCGACTGACGTCCCGATGTCAAAGTTAACCCGGAGTACCTTAAGCTTTTTAATTATTGTCTTTGGTCCGATCTACGCAGAATGAACTAACTGTGTTTTGAAGTCTTGCAGTGGTATGCTTGGGTTTAGTTTTAATTTTATTAATTATAGGATCCCAAGCAGGTGGTAGTACCCAGCCTCCTTCTCTATTGAAATTAGGATGTTTTTTTTAATTTCAATAGCCTCACGTATCATCCTTGGTAGGAATCGATGTTCTTTCGCGAGGATTTGTGGTCTATCAAATCTGATGTAATGGTCGGGGCCATCTAGGATATGATCGCAAACTGCAGACTTCCCGGAACGTTGATGCTTCACGTCAGCTATGTGTTCTTTTACGCGGGTTCTGATTGATCTCTTTGTTTGCCCTATATATGAGAGACCACAATCACAATCAAGCTTGTACACTCCTGCATCTTGTAGAGGAATATGACACTTGACGGATGGTAAGAACTGACTAATCTTCTTCAGTGGCTTGTAGAATGTTCTAATAGAAGCTCGCTTCAAGATGTAGCCAATCTTTTCTGTGAAACTTCTGACATATGGTAGTACAGCAGGCACACGCTCGACTGTAGCCGGCTTCACTCGGTCACTGTGAATGAGGCGTGGGACCCGAAGCTTGTTGTCGTGCAGAACCTGTTTGACGTGCTGAACCTCGGCGGCCAGGTGTTTGCTGTCACAGATCCCTCGTGCTCTCTGTTACAGAGAGCACGAGGTGGCTGTGGTGGTGTGTGTGTGAAGGTACTCCAGGTTAACTTTGACATCGGGACGTCAGTCACCTCAGTCCCCCGTGAACACGGGTGCTGGAAAGCACCCGAAACGTCGGGTATTAAAAATAAATAAAACGCGATAAAATCCGTAAAAGTAGTTTCAATCAATATCTATCAATAATGTTTTACCTATTTATTCGGATGCATCATATCGCCAGCTCACCAGGCACCAGCAGTTTGCTTGGTTTGGCATGGAATTAAGCCAATATACTTACTAGTATACTTGGGAAAGAGGTGACGATAGAAGCATGATAGATTTCATAATTGTGGATGAAAGATTGAGGGGCGCAGTGGTAGATACAAGGGTTTACCGGGGTTCTAACGTAGGAACGGATCATTATTTGGTTTTATGCCGAATTTCTATTCAGGCGTTGGCGCCATCGATCATCTGTGTCTACCACTGCGTTACAGCGTATTAGAACAGAAAGGTTACAAGATGAAGGTGAGAAAAACAAGTTCAAATGTAGATTGAAAGAAAATATAAGTGATTTGGATGAATTATGTATGAAGGAGTTAGACTTGGAGAATGTATGGCAAAATGTAAAGAAAGGTTTAGTGGATGCAGCTACCGAAGTATGTGGTGTTAGTAAGAGAAAGAATGAAAGGAAAAATAATACGTTATGGTGGGATGATGAGATACGTATGGAAGTTGAAGCAAAAAGAGAGCATGGCTAGATTTACTAGCAGCAAAGGCTGGTAATTCTAGCGGTACGTATGATGATATTGAAAGAAAAAAGGCAGTCTTTAGACATCTTAATAAGAGAGTAAAAGAAGTAGTTGAAAGAAAAAAGCAAGAAAGAACGGATAAGAATGATAGAAGAATATCGGATAACTTCCAGGCAAATATTAAAATGTTCTGGAAACTTGTAAGAACTGCCAAGGGACATTCAAAACAGCCTATGATGAATGCTATAAGAGACGAGAATGGCTATATTCTGAATGATGAAGTTTTGAGTTTAAAGAGATGAAAGGAATATTTTGAAAGCGTGTTTATGAGGAGGAGACAACATGTGTACTAAGTGAAGTCGAAACTCCGAAAGAAGAGGAAAGAGGTAGCGAGATAAGTATAGATGAAATAATGAAAGCAATGAAAAGCATGAAAGCAGGTAAGGCTGCCGGATATGATAGAGTTTCTCTCGAAATGCTAAGGGCTGGAGAGGAAGTCGTGGCAGGCCTGTTGCACACCTTGTTTAATTTATGCTGGGAACTGAAGCGGGTACCGGTAGACTGGTGCAAAGCTGTGACAGTCACAGTTTATAAAGGAAAAGGGTCGCAGCAGGACTGTAAAAACTACCGTGGCATCGCCTTCTTAGCATTGTGGGAAAACTGTATGCTAAGGTACTGATTGAAAGGGTCATGAAAGAAACTGATTTAAAAAATTTGGGATGTACAAGCGGGATTTAGAAAGGGAATGGGATGTACAGATCAAGTCATGTCCATGCGCATGATCGCGGAGAAGTTTTTGGCCAAAAACAAAAAGGTTTTTTGTGCGTTCATGGACTTGGAAAAGGCCTGTGACAGAGTGGATAGGGATGTGCTTGGCAAACACTGAACTCATTTGGGTTGAGCGCTGGCTTGATACAGGCATTGGAGTCTCTTTATAGGGACTCCAATCTCTAGTGCTTGTGTTAGGATCAACGGGGTCTACTCGTATTGGTTTTACTCTAAAGGTGTCAAACAGGGCTGTGGCTCCCCGTGGCTCTTCAACCTATTTAGGGACAGTTGTTTGCAAAATTTGAAAGTTGAAGAATGCGGATTAAGAATGGGTGAGTTAACCGTCAAATGCCTTTTGTACGCCGATGATCAAGTTATCTCTTGCGTCGTCGGCGGCCGAGTTGCAAATGATGGTTACATTAATGAACAGATAATTAAAAGAAAGGGGTATGAAAGTGAACGCAAGTAAGATGAAGGTTATGGTTTTTGAAAGAGAAGAAAGTAAAACGATTTGTGAAATAAGAATAGAAGGGGAGTTGATCGAGCAAGTAGATGACTTTATATATTTGGACTGTGTATTTAGCAGGGATGGGAGATATGATAAGGATATAGAACGACGAGTGAATACGGGAAATAGAGTAAATGGGGCCCTGCACTCTATTGTGAAGAGTCAAAATGTGTCAAAAAAGGCACGTGTGGCAGTTCAAATGCTGTGTTGGTCCCTACTTTAACGTATGGTAGTGAAAGTTGGGTGTGGCAGAAGAAGCACGAGAGTAGAATCAACGCAGTAGAAATGCGGTCGTTAAGGAGTATGTTAGGGCTGAATCTGAACGAGAGGGTAAGAAATTGTGTAATAAGAGAAGAGTGTGGTTTGCAAGATGATGTTGTGACCAGGATTAAGAAAGGAATGCTTCAGTGGTTTGGTCATGTGGAAAGAATGAATGAGGAAAGAGTGACAAAGAAAATTTATGTTGCAGAAGTGAATGGCAGAGTCGGAAAGGGACGTCCTAGGCGAAAATTTATCGACCAAATTGGCGATTTATTGAAAACGGGCCAAATTAGGAGTACCCTTAACCGACGAGCATGTATGCGTAGGTGTATGGATGTTAAGGAGGCGAGAGAGGTGTGTCAGGATCGTGCCAAATGGAAGTCTGTAGTCTCTGCCTACCCCTCTGGGTGACAGGCGTGAGTGTTTATGTATGTATGTATTATGTCTGGCCAAATTAGATGGCATCCGGTTTTTGTTAGGCTTTTTAAATTTGACAATTTCTTTACATTTTTCATGTACTTACATACGTACTATTGCAATTATTGAAATTAATATTGTAATGAATATTGAATGATTAACAATAAAGAAGACTGATTTATTTAATTAGTGTTATTTCGTTAGAACTTAAGAAAATTTTATGGCTAATGATAAAAAAACATTGTTTGACTTTAAAAAATGTCGTTTTATTAAGATAAAATAAAGGTGCCTCACCTTTTTACTAAAATGTCCGGCTAAGTCCGCTGGTCTGTTCGGCTTTTCGATTTTAAGACCTGGCAACCCTAGGGGTAGCTCGTTAAGTGTTAATTAATTTAATCACCCTCTTTTTCCCCCTGGTTGACTTTAACCTGTGTTATAATATGTTAATTTGTTGTTGTCAGCGTTGATATCTTTAAATATTGTAAAAATTTTTGTTTAATAAAATTAAAATATTATTTAGTAACAGAATTTTTGTGAAATAGGTGGATGGATCGTAAATAGGCGAGGTTGGGGTTTGGCGTAATGTTCTCACATCCCCCTTACACCACTTTATACTTATGTGAAAGTTGAGCTAGGAACTACTAACTAACTAGGAAATTAAAAGTTAAATTTTGTAGATATTTTCTTGTAGTTATCTAATTTCACGTGTATCTGTTTTAGATTTTTTGAATCGCCAATTATCGTAGCTAAACTTTAAAAACCCAAGCATGGTGAGTAGGACAAACCCTGGTAAATTGGTGAGCATAGAACTAATAT